TAATTGTCTGGCTGCTGAATGCAGCAACCAACCTGCAAATGCATGCATGTATTGGCCAAAATGCTAATATCGGCTAAAAAATATCGGATTTACAACGTATTGGGCTATTTCCATATAGAAAGAATATATAAGCGCATCATTGAGTGAAACTTGCCTCGTCTCTACAAGCGTTTTTCCAGGTTTCCCGTAAGCATGGAAAGCTGCAGAGAAAGGAAAGGATCAAGGTTAACGACGCCAAGCCAAAGAGAAAAAAAGAATCTGACACCAACTTGTTTCAAAATGAGCTAAAATCATCCAGTTGTTTGCTGTAAAGCATCCTGCTCAACAATAAGATGATTGGATTGTTTTAGAATTGAAAAAAACAAAAAAAAAACAGAGTAATGCAACTGTTGTTTCAACCTCTAAAGCAAGGATTACCGGTGGTTTTTACCCACCCAGTCCAGCATAGGTTCTTCGTTTGGTGTTGCTGGCGGTGTGGACCAGGAACATGCAAGACTTGTGGGTCATCCATGAACAGAAGAACAGCAACAGAGTACCCAGTACGATCCCACACTGGGAAGGAGCACAGACACTTGTTAACATTTATATCAGGACTTAGCATCCATTTCCAGCATTTTTTCCAGAATATTGACATAAGAGCTGATGAAGTGTGACAGTCAGATTTGTATGTGTTCATTCGTTATAAATTTAAAGTGGATAGTTTGGATTATTTTGGGGTTTCTATTAAGAGGATATAAGTTGTCACAACAATTATCATATTTATCTAATGCCAACTCTGTTCGATCAGAATGAAAAACCTTTTCAGACACCGATGAAGCTTCCTATGTGAAACAAGTTCAAAAAACAAACCTTTGCAATATCCTGATGGGTGAACAGAAATGAGGTCACTACAGTTCAGAATAGTACAATGAATAGCAAAGGTACATATCCTGTACTTCATTACATTAAAACGACAATGTTTAATGTGCTTTGAGGGGGATTTTAAAGGGGTGATAGAATGATTCTATAGGGTATCTGGTCCTTCAGGTCTCTGAATAGGGTGTGTAACATTGGTTGGGCTTAAAATGGAATATTTACTGTTCTATGAGCCCTAATGCAATCCTGGTTAAAAGCCCTAGAATGAAACGACAGGTTTTCTTCCTTTTATGGCATGATCATGAATATTTAGACGAGCTGTGCGCTGACTAGTTGGTTTACAACGAGCGAAGCTGTTGAGCAAAGACACATCATGGCAACAAGCACTCAGTCACTGAAACATCCGATTGTTGATATGGTAGGGGGACCAGACGTCCTCTTTTCCCGGACATGTCCTACTTTTCATACCTAAAAGATGTCCGAGGGGAATTTCAAAATCATCCGGGATTTTGGTCGACTACAGTGCAGCACGTGGTCGAAACAAGAAGCCACTGACGGAGCAACTGAACCCAAACCAGTGACGGTAGCCTGAACAACAGTGGCCCCGTGGTTCCAAAAAAAAAAAAAAAAAAGTGTCCTCCTTTTCAAAATCCCAAATCTGGTCACTACAGATATGCTAGCACTGCTATCAACAGCTTAGCGACAGAATCATACTTCCAGCTAGTGGTTGTTATGGCCTTACGGTGGGAACAGCCCGTTGTTTCAGTAAAAGAAGTTCAGCAAATCCTCCTTTGAACTGTCCAAGATTTGAAAGCTGTCTTCGGTAAAATGCTTCGAGCAAATGAACCTCTGAGCACCAAACTTTGCTGGGATCTACTGATAGACAAAAATAATCCATGCCTGACGAGTCTTTGGATCCTTGGGAAGACTGTGAAAATGTTCCCATTTCTCCAGACCAGTGGGCTGGTCTGTATGTAAATTTTAGGACGTGATAAAAGTACAGGCCAAAACCGAGAAAGGCAACATCCCAAAACTGACGTCAACTCGGTGCTTCGATTGAATTCGCCCGTTTTACGGTGGAAGTTTAGAATTGTGAGATTTGCAGAGAAAGGAGGTGTTGATGGGGTTTAAACTTCTCTGTACGTCCATTTCACCCACTGAACTATCGTTATTCATCTATGACAATGGAAACTCGGTTTTACATTCTATGACCCCTTTAAGAGAAGGATTCAAAATTGATGCACAGCCACCAAACTGGGGAGATGTGATAAAAAAGTTTTGACAAAGTAACTTCCCTAAACATGAGGTGTATATTTATGTTTTACTTAATTTAAATGATCCAGAAAGTGTAAAAAAGTTTAAAGAGTTATAATTAAATTCAATTCAGTTTATTTATATAGGGCCCATGACTGATGTTATCTTAAGATACTTAACAGAGATTATTCAATCAGGTCATACAGGTACAGGTGTTAAATGAAATATAGCTGACTGACTCAAGTCATTGACATTGGAAGAAAGTATTAGTTACTGATTTGACTACTTTGTTTTTGTCTGGTGCGTAAATACCTAAAATATAAACTTACAGCTTGAAGAATCTTGAAAAGGGTGATAAAGTATGATTCCTTTTGTAAGACATCTAAGAAACATTGGCAGACCTAATCAGTCAACCAGTCAAAATGAGTTTCTAAACGGCCCATGTTGCTTACAGTATACAGCAGGGCACCGTACAGCTATTTTTAACCCTTTTTTTTTTGTAAATCTAGCAATAAAATAATTTACTTTACTGCTTAAACATTTTAAAACAATGTGTCAACAACTGATCTTTTGCTCAAGTAAAACTTAATAGTTTTCGTATAATACTTCAAAAATGATTCAGACTGGCTTTATGCGGCAGGGTCGTTGTTTAGGAAAGTCAAATAATCAGACATAGCAGCTTAGTTTAGTTTATTTGGGAATAACAGATAGCTTCTCCAAAGAACCAGTCTGTTTTAATATTAATGATCAAAGACTGCCCTATAAGCCAACTTCTCTTTAGGACAAAATATTGTACATCTCCCAGAGGGGGGGGGGTTAAAACCACGAAAAACAAAAAACTAATTTCAAAATTATAAAAGAATAGCTGTAGATGTTGTAGCACTACTCCACATTTTACTATTTCAATGCTATTACCTCAAAAGAAATGTCAAACCCTCTTCAAAATGTGCAATGGAACAAAAAAAAAAAAAACATGTGCCAGGAGAACGTTCAAGGTTCAGAAAGAAGCTGCTGATAAGACTTGTGACATCAACAAATTTTTTGTAAGCGAAAAATCCAGTTCAGCACCGGCTCCCACCAGTAAGAGCAGCTGGTGCTGGTTAAAAAACGACCAGCATGGTAACGGCTGGACAGTCCGATATTCTATCACCAGCAACAAGCATAAATTATCACATCGACTCATCTAACGGCAATTCAGAGTGACTGGCTGACCATGTATGTGCATGTTTTTGAACAGTAAGAGGAAGTTGAAACCTGGTAAAAGTGCATTTATCATGCAGTGGAAGAATAAGAAACTATATAAGTTATATATAAGTCTACAGTATAGGGTAGCATTTTAAACTGAAATGAGCCACCAATCAATATTAAAGAGACATTATGTAAGTTTTTACCTTTTAATTGACTCTACAATTAACACCTCGGTAGCTTAGTACCGATGCTTCCATATGCCTCTAGCCTATTTTCTTTCATTTACGTTATATTGGAAGTTCCCACACCGTTTGGCAGATTTGACATCAAGCACCTCTATATTAAGTGATTCCAACCTAGCAAACAAACTAACAGTAATATTCAAGATGGATTCTGTTGATATGAAGAAGTGCCTGCCATCCAGTTCAGCTCAGACACCCATGATGGCAACTCAAGGTAAGGTGGAAAAAGGAGCAAGCTAAAGAGTGCTGCAGCTCTGTGTTTTGGCCACAGGTGGCAGTATCATTAGAAAACTCTGTAATGTCTATTTAAGCTTCAAAGAGCTACAAATTGTTATATACTTATGAATCACTTGTGAATCAATGTTTGTTTTTTTAATTTCTCCAGCTGAAGATGGTCTAAATGTAACTTCATACAGCACCTTTACTAAATCAATTTTGTCTTTATATATAAAATGATTGGCTACTAAAGTGTTTGACAGATTAAAAATCAAATATTTTAGGTTTTAAGACTTTAGCATATAAAAAAAAGTGCAGTCTAAAAAAGCAAAACACAAACACCTACATCAACGCATACACCTGCAGTTATGGTCGAAATGTTGGAGACTAAACATCTTGTTAAACACAAAAGGTAACAAAAACGTATTAACTGACAATCACTGATTTATACTTGGTTTTAGCTCCTCCACAAAAATGACTGCTATCCTTTCAATTAACTGTCATTTTTATTAATTTAAAAGAGATGAAATATTTGATGAAAATAAGTTATCATTTTGTCTTAAAAATTAATCCTTAGACATCAAAGATCAAAATTTTGAAAGGATTTCACCGCTGGTAAGATTGCACCCAAATGTGCTGTGCTAGATGTGCATGAAAAAGAGAAGAATTTTCTAGCTAAAATCAACAACATTTTAGAGGTTATTGGTTTTTTGCTTTTTTTTAACAAATTCTGGTTAAAAGTAATAAAGTAAACACAATCTAAGCCAGATTCCAGACTTATATGCCAAAGAGAATCTGTGATGGGAGCTAAAGATTGGGGTGATAAGCAACCCTTCAAACCTCAGGGACCAGGAGCCCACTAAC